TCTCTCTCTCTCTCTCTCTCTCTCTCTCTCTCTCTCTCTGTTTAAGAGAATGTGTGTTAGGCTGAGGTCATTATTGATCAGGTTTTGTGACAAGCTATTACTACTTCTAAATAACAATTAGAGTGACAGAAACAAGGGCGAGTGCAGGCCCCAGTCAGATAAATTATGCCTTCCTGTTGCAGCGCCTGCATACGCTAAATTAATGACGATTTATGTTCTCAAAATACACAGAGACCAGGAAACGGAAGCACTTGTTGACAATACACAGAGGTAGAAAGGTACTCCAGTACTGTAATACCTGTTTGACAAACTTGAGGACTTGTACTTTACTTGAGTATTTCCATTTTTTCCTGCTACTTTATACTACAATGGTTTCATTTGAATAATGTTTTAAAAAATTAAATATTTAAGATTAGAGAGAAGTCCAGAAATTCAATAGAAGTTTGTGTATTGGAACTTTGTTTTTTCTTCTTTCCTTTCACATTAATCATCTCACTTTTATTTTCTGACCCTTTGGAGGGGGCTCGACCCTTAGGTTGGAAACTATAGCTTCAAATGCATCAGTATCCAAAATCTAATGCCATTTATATGTATAAATCAGTGGGATAAAGGAGGTATCTTACTGCAGAAGCAGTACATTTCACCTTATGGTAGTAGCCTAGCCTATTTTACTTTAGTAAAGGATCTGAGTAGTTCTTCAACCACTAACAATTCAATAAACACCACACTTAACATATTATTTTGCCAGAATGTGGCTCATAAATGGTTTCATACATGTTTTGCAGTTAATATAGAGATCAAATTACATCACAAAAACCTTTTTGAAAGGCTGCTTTAGAGCTGTAGGCATCACTAACTTCGATGATTGACATGTACATTGAACCCAAAGCTTCCACTAATCATGCATTTGATAAACGCCATCCATTCCTCGCCGCTGTCCGGGCCAGGTTTTGATACAGCGCCGCCACTTGCCGGAGCACTTGGATTGGCTGAAGGAGCAAGGTAGCCCGCAGAGACCGCTCCTTCTCCCGGATCAGTCCCGTCAGTGGAGCGCGAGGCGCGGCAGCACTCACACACACTGGTCGGCACGCGTGAGAGAGTGGACTCACCGGAGGACTCAGATTTCTGTGTGTGGGACTAATCGGAGCATGAATTTGTCATCAAGTCATCGATCCACACCTCTAGACAAACCAAGTGAACCTTTCGAGGGAAAAGCAAACGGGGACAGATTTTAATGCAACATCCTTCCTGACGGAGGGCGATGCACCCGCCTCTTGTTCCTTAAACTGTCACAGTTTTACATGACTGCGAAAGCACAGCGCTGGATATATTTTCTGCAAAGACAATTTTTTTTTTGCGCTCGGGAGTTTTTGAGGGGTGACATTTCGACTGCAGCGCACAACAACGAGCGACACTAGTGCGTGCGTGCTTGAGCGCAATTTCACTGTGACTCGGACTTGCCTCTGAGCGGAGTTTGACTCCTCATCATGGGGCACGGTGCACAGACTGATGGAGGGAGAGGAAGAGTGCCGAGATCATCGCCTGAGATGCTGACCGTGTCTTGGCTTTTGCTTATTCTCCTGATGGATATCGGAGTGGCTCAAGGTAAAGTCAAAAGTCTTTTCTTGACCTGTGAACTTGGCTTTACTCTCTGTAAAAGTTGTGTAAACTCCTACATGCTATACAGCAGGGGTGAAGTGGACAGGAAGAACCACCTGAAGTTGGTCCACTCACACTGTCAGTTGAAAAAAATACAACAGCCCCCTAAGTCACCAAGAAGGCCTAAGTCATGATAATGCGGGCTAAATATGGAGATATGACAAACAAGGTCAAATTAACTATAATATAGAAAACCATGATGGAAAAAAGGTGAAAAAAACCACCACAGTTTAAATCAAGAGATTGGATGTTGCTTATTTCAGTTGTGTAAACAACAATTGTCATTTGTAAACAGAAACAGTCACACTATCACATGCGTGTTTATAGGAAAAGAAATCAAGAAGTGCTGTTGTGCTCCGACAGAGATATCACAATGAAATCGAGCCCATATTTAGGTTGCTCGTTTTACATCCAACCCAAATTGACCGATAAATATACTTGTGCACAAATGTATTTACTACAATAAAAATGGCCTGTTCTATATCATATTACAGGAGGTATAATATAATACAAACTGTAATTATTATGAACCAAATTATATTTAAATTCTGACACATGGCCCAGTTCCTACTGCTATGAATTTAGTTTTACTGTGGACATCTGCTCACACTGTGAAAACCCTCTTGAGGATGTTCATTCATTTGCTTTCTTTTTCCTTTTTATAGTGTACAAAATGATTCATTTTTGGCCCATCTTGTTTTAATGTACATATTAATAGTTTCCTTACAAAGTAAGATGTTCATTCCATATAGATACAAGCTCATCCTTTTATTGATAATTATTGTGGAAGTCCAGTGAAGCTATTACAGATATTTAATAGTCTTGACCGTTGCTAAGAAGACGGGTCTTTATTAACATTAAATAATCTGTATGAATGAGTTTCTAAGGACCATTTTCAGTTTTACCACACATATAATCAGTTTTAATTTCTCACTGTATTTACCTAGCAACCTTTTTTTTTTTTTTTAAACCTTCAGTGTTTTCTCCAGCTTTTTCCCACAGAGTAGAGTCGTCTGTTGAAAGATGTTTTTCCATAAATCGTAGATGTCAGTTATGAAGAGCATTGTGATAATGCCACAACACCTGAAGCCATTTACTTAATCTGCTCCCTCCTGAGTGGGGATTGTCTGTCAAACAAAGGGGGCTAGGAGGAAGCCATCTGTGTGAGGGTGACTGTTCAGTATGTGTTTGTGCATGTGTGTCAGATGCCAGATGAAGTGTGCATGCCTCTGGTAGGTGGTCTGCCTGCTCTTCTTGGAATGAACTGTGGCTGAATAACGTGATGAGATGGGAGGAAATGAGCAGATTCTCGGCTTGCAGACAGAGCTCTGTGAGGAAAGGCTTACAGCATCCGATTTTTCAATGATCTCACATATCTTTTGGGAAAGTTGAGGCTGCTCATGCGAGAGCAACACTAGCTTAAATTGGAGGTCCAAGCACATATCCTAGGTATGGGGGTCTGTGAGCAACCTTATCTAGCTGCTCCAGACCTTCATCTCACTCCTACATAGTTAATGAGCAAAAGAGGGAGAGGAGGAATAAAAAACAACGCAGGTCCGGTTTCTGAAGGGCAGGGTGAGATGACATAATACCCATTCCAACACCCCAGAGAGCCCTGTGTCATTGACTAGATGGGAATACGAACAAGGTCCTTCTCTGTCCATTAAGGAGTCGATACAGCAGGAGAACATTGTTTGAGACTAATTAATGGGCCCCGCTATTTTTGGGCACTGATGAGCTCTACACATTTCCAAATCGCTGGAGAGTCACTTCTTCAGTGTAAAACTACTGGTGATTAAAGTGGCTCACTTACCCGGGCGCTCGTCGTACAACCACCCCGTTTCTGCCTATGTTGGTTTGGAGTCATTTGAACACATTTCAATATTTGTATACTTACTTAAGGTACATTTCTTCAGGCTATTGTAGTTTGTTTTTACTTCCTGACTTTACCTTTGAGAGGACTTGCTCTCACCCCATCTACAGACAGAAATGAGCGCTGGGAAATGAGAGTGCTCATTAACCTGCTGAACTCTTGACAAAGGAGACAGGTTGAGACAGATATAAGCTGGGAGCTGCCAGAAAGGTCGCTGGGAGCTCTGTGACAGTAGCTTGATTGGAAACCCTTGGTGCAAGAACAGATGTACTCCGGGTATTTCCAGCACAGCAGCAGCAGAGCTGTACAGTATGTGTGCAGTGTCCATATCCGTGTGCAGTTGTTATGGGAATATGTGGAATACTTCCTCCTGGTGATATGCGGTAAAAAGAACGCAAGATATGTTTAGAAAAAGTTTTTTGTTTTAGGGGGGGAAGTGAATGTAAAGATAGTTCCTAGTTCTACTGGGTCGATCTGAAATATTATAATCTGTTATCTATCAAACAGAGAGACCAGTGATTTGGGGGGAAAAAGCTGCACTGTCTTTATTGATTTCATATCAAATGTGCTTCAGGGAGGACATATGGGTTCATAGAGGATTTCTAAACCCTCTGCAAATAGAGACAGTCTTGTGTGTTAAATGTATTGTGAGAGAGAGAAAATAACATTTTTAGGTGTTCCTCTTTATGGATTTCTTTACAATAATACCTGAACACTGATATGTTTATATTGTATCTCTGAGTTAGGCACTGGTTACAAATATAAAGTCCCACCCAGGGTAGTGGTCTTCCTGGGATTACTTCAGTTTTTCCATAATGCTGCTCCTCCTATTTCACTATGTTCCTGTCTTTGCCGCTTTCCCACTTTCTGATGATGTGCCCTCTGAGGATTGTTTTTGGGAGGGGAAACGTTAAAGGTACCTCATTATATATGATTTCTAAAATATGGTGACTCAGTGCACAGTAAGTCGTTTCTATTTTCCACACGCGACACTCCCTTTGAGACTGATCTGAGCGTAGCTTTAAGAGTGCAGGTAAACGTGAATGTTATTTCTATCATTATTATTCTAACTGGCTTCCCTGCGGCCCGACAACTGGCTGCTTGGGGGCCGCTAACATTACAACCACTGCGGTCATTCTATAAACGGTGCTTGTATGCACAATGAGCTCATTGTGCGTAAGGAGCAGTATTTATAAATTACCCTCTGTGATAGCTCTTTGCCTGCACCCATGAGCTGGCCATATGACGCACTTACAGTCGAGCAATTTTAGGTAATTGAAGGAAATTGATATTCAGTAGCATACTCCCCTACGTACAGGTGAAGGAAGAGGTTAAAGTAAACACTGTGTACAGTGTGGTCTGACAGTGCCGAGTGGGGTCAGAGGTGCTTGCCGGCTGCCGGCTGAGCCCACAGGCGGAGCGTGGAAGTGAGCGATAATTACTGTGGAAAGTGTCTGCTGCTGAACTTGCCTCCCTGCTCCACTTGATGTCATATACTATTGTTATGATGGCAGAAAGTATACATGGAGCTATTTTGGGGCTGGGCCCAGTTCTGCAGTCACCTGCTGGAGGAGGATGTTGTGCTGTTGCTGACATTGTAGGCAGGATTTTAGAACTACTGGGATCAGATCAAACTTCCCTTTAGTGCAACCCCGCACGGCCCGCCTCAGAAATCTTTCACCAGCCACCAAAAAAAGCTTTTGAAATGTTCTGAATATTTTACATTTTTACTTTACCAAATCATTCACTTTTTACTTACAATGTCTGTGTGTTTTATCTCCCTTTATAATGCTCTGACTTCAGTTTCAGAGCTTTCCCTAATCTGATATAATAGTGGTAGATAAATTCTAAAATCTTGTATTATTATACTTGAGCGTAATTTATTAAATGTAGCCTAAAATTATAAGTTAAAACGGTGTTTAATCTGTGTATAATTACTACATTTTAATGTTTTTTAAGAAACTCCCAGGAACCTCAGTTTCAACAATGCTTCTGATGGTTAGGGGCCTTGCTGTCAATGACCATGCACCAGATTTTAGTGGGTCCCTCAAGCAATTAAGTTTATTCTGCATATTTATGCTCTCTGACCAGCCGAGTGGAAGGATGCCTCTTCCAGTAAAATAAACCTGAAAGCTTTGTTTTCCCCTTTTTTTTTCTCTCACTGCCATTTTTTATTTGTTGCTCTCATATTTTAGGCATTGTAAAACCAGAGCTTTGCAAAAACAAAAACTTGACTGTTGGGGAGTGTAATACTGAAGTTAGATTCCTAAAATCTCCCCTCCTTCCAGAGAGACCGCAGAAAGGAAAATAACTTCAGTTGTGAGAGTTAGACGAAGAGGGTGATCGCAAGGACACACAAGAGGCAAATGGGACAGAAAGATTAGTGGCGAGTGGAGATGAAGCTGGAGGAGAAAGAAAGAGAGAAGGGTGAAAGCAAGATATGGAGCGAGGACAGGGATGGACAGGGGAGGAGAGGAGAGTGTGTCATTAATCACCCCATGTGACACTCTCAACTACAGGGGAGCTTCACAGTGCAACATTCACTTCTATTAGCAGTCCATTAGCAGAGCCCGGCACAAGTAGCAGCACTTGACAGGCAGGCCCGAGCCAGAATGGCTGACCTGTGTCTTGACACAATGTTTGCTGCACCACCTAGATAGTGTGTGTGTGTGCGTGTTTGCTAAGAGGTTCTGTGAGAGTAGGGTAAGTCAACGTGCACCACAGGGCCTACATTACTATTGTGGTAAGTTTAGCTTTTTAGGCTTTGGGTGACAAATTAAAATAATTGTGTAAAAAGGTCCCACTTTCAATTACGCTACTGGATCAGACAGGGCATAATGATTGCAGAGATGATGATGGTGGTGGTGGTGACCTGATTTCCTACCTGTGATATCCGCTCTGCCAGAAAATGGCTCTTCAAAGTTGAGATGGCTGATGCATTAGAGGTACAGTCATATCCCATTCAAAGGCTTGTTGGCCTCTTACTAGCCAAGAGCCTGGTGATTACAGGATCTCAGCCAAGGGGGGAAGGGGGTGTGGACCACTGTCCCTGCTCTTGATCTACAGTTCATTT